CAAGCCCTGGTATGACAGTCTCCATGACTTAGAACTCCCACGATTGGAACTTATGTCTTTCAAATGAGATGCTACAGAGCATTGGCGTTCCAAACGGCAGTTCAATGGATTCGTCTCCAAACCCTCGTGTGGGGAACATACGAAACTGCCCTACCAATAACATTACCGCATTAGGGTAACTAAAGAGGCAACGGAACATTACACAATGATGACAGAGGAAAATGGATATAGGATGGTCATGCAGTTAGGTATAACGTATTGAGGTTACTAGGTGAACCAGTATGGGATGTACAGATACCTGTATCGTTCGAGGAACTGGACTGCCTATAGGCGTGAAAACAGACTCATAAATGTGAATATTTTTTCATAGCGGAAGTACCAATTAGATAAAGCATCATGAGTAAATATAAGCTTGCTTACAGGTGCATCGAAACCGGACTCCTTGAGAAGGTATATATGGAAAATGGCAAATGAATGGTAAACGGTTGCATCAGTAGACACCATGGTCTCTTCCATCGGCCGCCTGTTGCTTATGCGTCCACGAGAGTGCGAGAAATTTCTGGTCTATGTCAAATGGTACCACTCGCTTTGGAAATGTCTCAATGAAAGTGTTGAACGGCAAATGATCAACGAAAGCCTAGGCTTTGCCGGTTCGGATACCATAATACCGTAGCTTTCAAGGAATCTGCAAAATGGGGGTATATTGGAGCAGCTGAAGTTGAGGTAATACAAAATGCTATTCGGTCCAATAAAACATCAACAGCAGTCGAGCAGCACTGCTGAACCGGTCACTTAATGTTGAGGTGTGGAGAAACCGACCTAGACAAAGACCTCACAGTTCTTGATTTTTATCTTTGTAGACGACAAATAACTCAAGAATGCGGGACCACCGAATTGAGCGGTTATCTACTAAGCACAATCCTAAAATCTGGAGCAACAACTATTCAAGCTTAAGACGGCGTTACCTTTGGGAAAAAGAATATCTTTTATATTCTATAAAAGCCCTCTTTACACCTCATTTAGAGTAATACGTAAAAGCTTGGGAGCCTTACTTAAGAACATATATCCATTACATCATAGGGGCGCAGAGATTAGCCGCGAAGATGGTGACCCAAATGAGGGGGGTTTATAAGATGGTGGACACCCTATGAATTTTCTTGAGAAAGAAAAAACGCCTAGGACAAGACCTTCAAAGTAATGGATGGTTTGACAGATTTAGATGTAGAGAGATTGTTCACCTTACCACCAGTCTCTTCTACACTAGAGCACTATCTGCAGCCAGTAAAATGCCGTAACAGACTCAACTTTAGATTCCACTTCTTCACTAGCACGATTATATATATTATTTAATTAACGTTCACTACGCTTGGTTCAAATTTGTGACTTGAATGGATCAATCCATTTGGAATGGTATGATATGTATCGAAATACTCCAGATCATTTCTGAGTGCTATGAAGATAATAGTTAAGTATTATTATCAGGCCTAGGTATTTTCCATGTTTTTCAGACAAAAGTTTTAATCCTTCCCGTTGACTCAGAACGTGATCGCAGACCACTAGGTTTAAGCCCCTAAACTGCCAAGCACAAACACCACAAAATCCTACCAAACGCTACATTAGTCTCGGTAAATTTCCATTATGGAGCCATACAGGTTATCAGGATATTGACGAAGGCATTTGTTGAAATGGACGTAACAACTGAAATCGTCAAAGTATATAAAATGAGCCAAAAGAACTCAAAAGCTTTACAATCTACACAAATTACTAATTTAGGTGTTTCGTGTTAGTTATGATGTGCAAAGTGGCTGCATTGTTTGCTCGGACCTGACCGAATTCGGTCGGGTGAAATAGCACGATGATAACCCGAAGGACGTGCAGTAAAGCCAGCAAGTTTGGCACTAAGTAGTGTGCTTCGGAGGTACTACAGAGGGATGTGAAACATTAGTTGCTCGGAGCCATAAACGGAAGGAATCATGGGCCGCACTCCAAAAGGAACTCCAACACCTACTAAAAGCATGCTGAGATTGTGGACCAGCAGTTAAGTTGCCCCTGAAAGTTACAGAATGCTACTGGCAAGGAATAGCTGAACTTTTCTGCGTCCTGGTGCACCAGTAGAAGCGAGACCAAGCACAGCATTGTCAACCTACTGAGAAGGCAGGTGTACCAGGACAAGCCCTACTGAAGAGGTTCTTCCGGCTACTGAAGTCCAGGCACTACACAGGGGGACGCTTGATCAGTACTCAATTAACTTGGGAACCCGAAGCACAGAGAGAGTTCTTGGAAGCCGCAGAGATGGCTAAGATGGCATGGGTGGAATCGAACCATCACAAAGAGCGAAAGAACGATAGACAATGTATGCATTTGCGAATAACACAACTAGTAAGATTGCCAAAAGTCAGTATCAGTCGATGGAATCCTACACTCTTACCACTCGAGACTGGAAGTTATAGTGATACATACGCAGGTGTAGCCATGGTAAAGTCGGTGGAAGCAGTAAGCCTTTTGATTAGTTTCTATCAGGGTTCAAACCGCTCCACCGCTGCCCGTCTTGCCTATATCTTCCCCAGGCAACCTTTGTATGGCCGCAGCCCCCTTCCTGAAAGTTGACAGTACATTTGTATATTCAAAAAAATAGAAAAAAAGTGAAAAGATATGCAACAATTTAAAGTAAGAACCAAAGGCTTCTGATGCCCTACTCCAAGTTTGTTTTGTTGAGCGCTTTCTAAAAGTTTTCTCCCTTACCATCATTGCCTTTCTTTTTAACGCTTACCATTCCAAACGAGCCATCTTTAACTCTTTGACTGCGTTACACCACTAGCAGCGACTAACAAGGTATAGCTGCGAATACCGACAAAATCTTGTTGCTAGCTCCCTCTTATTTTATTCTAACATCATGCCGCGTATCACTGCAGAGCGCCCAAAAACTCAGGCTAACAGGCGTGTGCCCCGATCCAGCTATTCCTCTGTTCCGCTTAACAATTGCTCCCTCCCACACGTAAACAGTGACGCTTTGAAAATAACCTCTACGATTGACAGTAGGATCACTAACCTTACCAACAGACTGGGGTCGCCTGAACTAATAGCCTCGACTCTAGCTCCACTGATCTTCCTAATGGACCCTCTATCTCAGCCTTTGGGTAACCTTACCCACTCAGGGATTTTACTTGATTTTATCGCCTCTGAAATCTTCAGGCGCATCTCAAACTCAGAAATGCAGTTGTCTTTAATGTCTCAGATAAAATTCCCCTGGATCAACTAAAGAATATCATCTTAAAAGCTTCAAACATGGACAACTATCCTTGCAACTGCATTCGACTTCGTAAAACATCCCAGCGGAACTCCTGTCTCCTTCTTTTTCAACTACCCAACTAATTATTAGCCAAGGAATTCATATCTGAAAGATACGCCATTGCCAATAATACCATCTTTAAAACCATAAAAGCTTTTCCCGATTAGACCCCACTCCAAAGAGCTACTAGGAATCCTACTACGAGAAAGTTTGCGGTGCAGATGGCCTCTACTTTGCCCAATACTACTAATAATAATAATAGGTGTATATTTCACGGAGCCCGTGTGACATGCACAAGGCATGATCAAATGATCAGGGTAGGTATATGCACAATAACAGTGTAAGTACATAGGTAGACAATAAAAATGGTGGGAATCAGAACGAAAACACAGTGTGAAAGGAACACAAACCGGACAAGGTCACCGACAAATTTATGGAAGATGGAGGAAGCATTGAAAATGCATGTCACTAGAACTGGAAGTAATGGTAAAACTGGTCTCGAAAGGATTGAACGTACGGCAACAGTGTGCAGAAATACGGAGAGGCGGTCCGTGGAACAAATGCTGCCTGACGGTGGAGGCATGAGGAGAGGAATAGAAAGGAAGGAATACACCCAGAATACTACGTCGGTAAATGGACATATTTCACTCTATGCTGCAATACAATTCGCTTCTGAAGACAAGTTCATTGGGTTCGGAGCTTCAATCAATCAAGCAGTGATTTGATTATTTAGATTAATTAGGCGTTGGTTGCTTTGATGTGGGACTGACTACACGCTACACACCCAAACTTAAAACACCATGTAGGTGGTCCGGAACGCGGACGCATGTAGTCAAAACGGTGGAAACAGCCGTGCCCAACAACCATTGCCGGAGCCAAATTGTCCATTGTGGGTGAGGACCCCAAGCCTTCGGCAGGCCCAAGAGAACCGAATCTTGAACAAAGAGGCGATATGCAGCATTCTGTGGTAGCACCCAGCTGAAAATGGGGAGGAGAAGAGAGGGAAATGGAGTATGCGATGGGACTTTACTAAAAATAAGTGCACACCTAGCACGTTGTACTAAAATGATAGGGTACCGGAGTGAATATAGACGTCAGACCATAACCAGGAGTTGCAGCGAGTTAACACGATGAAAAGCTTCTGAGAGTGCGCACCAGATCCCGCTTTAAAACTGAATCCGTGTACTCTTTAGAATCGGGTGCGAAAGTTGACACAGCTATCTGGTTAGCATATACCACGGAGGGAGGCCGAAGAAATTGAGTGAAAATGATTCGAGGAATATGTTGCTTACCAGATATTAGGTCACAATACTTGTACGAAGGACATTTTAGTCCAAGAAGCACCGACACCAATTGAGCGGAAATGATCAAACGGGGTTCCTAAACCTCAACTGAAATAAAAATAGTGATTCTGATTTGGCTCTGAAGCGTCAAAACAGATTCGTCGAGCACAAGATTTACAGCAAGCAAGAGCGAAAATAGAAAAGCTAGAGAGAACCTCGCTGAAGTTTAGAGACATTCAGCAGACAAGATAGCAGACAGAAGAGGATCAGGTGGGAGAAGCAGGATAGTTTAAGTGAAGAAACAAGGTTATACGAAGGGCATTTAAGTTCAAGTAGCACCGACACCATTTGAGCGAAAATGCCGTTTTAGAACTGCAGCCGTAGTGCAAAAGCGTCTTCTTCAGTCAGAATTGAGTTGATGAGCCGGATCATGGTTTGAACCATGAGGATTTGTTTATTGCAGCTTTGAAGAGGTGCATGGATGAAGATGANGCATCACACACCTCGTCTACCGAGATGGCTTGCCAAGACAGCAGAGGCCCAGAGCACGACAGTCTAGGGGTCGGTGATGTATCCTTGGCGTAGACAAATGCAAAGTGTTGCGCAAGAGCTTCCGCCTTGTCAACATCGGTTTCTGCTAGGGTACCGGTAATCTCCAACGATGGTACGTCAGCCGTTGCACGCGTGTGACGACGGAGGTATGCATAGAAACGCTTCGCCATAAAGGCCGCTCCGGATGCCAGGGCTTCCTCATACACCCGCCGTTTTCTGGAATTC